TTTATCAGGATCATATAATTGCCCAGTCCTAACCCTAACACAGCACCAAATTAAAAAAATAGACATGGCTCTGTAGTGGAAATCTCTGCATGAGCTCAACATTGCTTCCACAAGCCAATATTTGTGGACACAGTTTGCTGCTGCAGTCATTAACACACGCTGATAACAACACACTGTCTTCTTTCAAAGGCAGAGACATCTTTTATTTTAATGAGACAATGTCGTTATACCTTCTACATGTTTTACAACTTCTTTGCTGAAGAGTGCAGGAGCTTGAACTGGTCTGTCTGCAGCTCCAGCTTGTCGCCTTATGAAAACATTTGGTGCGTCATGAATTCAAAGAAAGTACAAAATGAGAAAAGAAAATCTGTGGAGCAGCTGAGATCGTCTGTCAGGCAAGAGTGTTTGCATTAAATGATCAAATCCGACCTCCAACACCTAAATCTGATTTTAGTAATATTTCACACATGGCGAAGCTTATGTGGAATTTGGGTTGTCCATAAACTTCTTCTATGCACGCAGACCACAAACACTTCTGGCTATTGTTTTAATCCATATGGAACTGTGGGTGTGATACACAGCACTGAACACAGGATGTAGGCTATTATGGGCCTAAAGAACATTGTGTTGTGCACACCGTTATGTTCAGTTATGATGCAGGTCACTCTTTCCAAATGATCGACGACAGCAGGTCCGCTCCTTCTTCACCTGTTTAACTTTGCAGCAGAGTCAAACTGAGGCATTCTGATCTTAAGCAGGACCTTATTAGGCCCTATTTAGGATACACAGACTTCTAAACAGCGCACAGATGGGAAGCATTAGTATTGCTGGCAGGAAACTCAATTTCCCAGTTGTACTGTGAATTAAAATGTAACAATGTGGGCTAGCTTAACTGCTGAACTTAATTACTCTTCTTCCTCACAATAATTGCCCAAAACTGTGCAGGTGCTGGCCGGTTTACTACTTCAGCATCAGCTTTTTTTCCTCTATTCGAAGGGCAGCATTTGCATAACAATACATTCTTGAAGAAAGGATGAAGCGGATTAAAACGTGCCAACAGGAGTGAGGCTCCAAAAAAAAAAATTTCACAACTGACAGAGAGGAATTCCTTTTTTGGCACGCAAGAAAAACGTGGCCGGTCGATTTTTTTTTCATAGTCATCTTGGACGGTTGCCAGGTTAGTGTTGCACTAATGCCGGTTAATAAAATGAGTTGCACCCCTGCGCATTTTTTTCTGGGTGTGTTGGCAGGGAGACTGCCTCAAGAATGCGAGTTAAAAGATTAAAGACGGCGACAGCGTGCAGAAAGCGTTTCTGCCAGCTTTGAGACACAACTTTGGCTGTGGCGTTGCACTCGTGTGTGTATATGAGTTTCAGATATTCTGCAAGATGGAGAGAAAGGAAATTCCAGTACAGTAACAGGGAATGGAAAAAAACCCATCATCCCTTAAATAGGACAGCCGAGGAGACACAGTCCCTTCTGTTTGAGGCGATACTTTGCAGAGAAAGCCATATTTTTCATCTTCATCGTGGCCCTTTCATGCGTTTCAGCTCCGTCTGCCGACAAAAGAATGCTTTGGCTTTTCTTGTGGAACTTGCACAAGCATTCAAGCACAAAACCAGTCGTGGGCTGTTCTTCCATCAAAAGCCTGTGAGTGTGCAGGAGTGTGTGTGTTAAGGCAGGAAAGCAAACATCACACAGGGATGATTCACAGTGGGTCAGGTTCTGGAGCAAACAACAGGGCGACTCTTAAAGCAGAGCCATTTCACTCCTTTGAAAATGTTGCGCCATCATATCTAAAGGAACTGTCACAATCAGGAAAAACATGTCTTTTAGTGCGCAATCATAACGAACACCGAGTCCAGACATTTTTGTGCAAGAGGGCAGGCATAGAGCCACACCAGTGTGTCTGAAACATTAAAATCTGTTGTTTTTAAAACCACCCACATGGAAACAACACAAGCATAAAAGAATGTAAGACTTGGGTAATCACAGGTCACTTGAGCAAGCAGATTTTGGCTGGACTGAACGTCATACATCAGTGGCGGCAAATAAAACACCTCAAGTCTGAAAGGTTGTTTTTCACATTAATCTATCATAGAGGGTGTTTTTAATGGGCCTGTTTTTTGCCTCTCGAGGAGATTAACATGTTCTTAATGGTGTTGAAATGCTGTACACCTCTGACACGGCGGATGCAATCTCGTTCCACAAATATCCGCCGAAGAATGAAAGCCTACATGCCCTATTACCACCTCTGTTAAAACTGTGTAACTTCAGCCAAAGTATACACGCTCTGCTTACACAAGTGTTCAGGTATGAACCGTTTCAGAGGAGGATAACGGGATAGCAGTTTGAAAAAGATGTGTTGAAATAAAACAAATCTTAAAGTTTCTACATAACTTTAAGGGCGGCAGTAGCTCAGGAGGTGGAGCGGTTGTCCAATAACCGGAAGATTGGCGGTTCGATTCCCCCATATTCTGAGTCTGTCCGTTGTGTCCTTGGGCAAGACACTTAACCCACCTTGTTCCAATGTGTGTCCTCCAGTGGTGTATGATTGTGAGTGTTGGGTGGTGGTGGTCGGAGAGGCCGTAGGCGCAAACTGGCAGCTGTGACGATTAAGGTAGTTTACCACCACCAAGGTGTGACTGTGTGAGCGAATGAATGATGTATCTAATGTAAAGCACTATATGAAATCTGATGCATCGATAATAAATCTTCGACAGCACCTTAAAAGTTGAGTCCAAACTAAGATCCTACCTAAGTGGCAGCAGCGACTGCAGCAGCTAGCCTTGGCACCAACAGGACAGAAGAGCTGTTAGAGTTGATTCAACTGGCAGAAAACTCAACAGGGGAGCAGCCAGAGCAGTAAATCATGACTGCTTCTTTGCAGATTAATCCCAACCAGCACATATGATTGGATCCCGGCACACATTTGCAGTCAGATTATGTCAGTGACAAAAGTTTTACATGCCCTCATGTGTGCAAAAACTACAAACTTTGAGATATAAATATGTTCATTGACCACTAGGAGCAGCTATAATCAGTAGTTGTTTTTAGCCACATCAAGCATAGTTAAAAATAATATTCTGCACCAAATAAAACTATAACTTTACTCCACTGTGCTTATAGACTGGATGGGGAAAGTCTTGGCTCTTTGCACAGAGTTATTAACAGAGTTGGCTGGTTTACTTTCCTCCCTGTGCCATAAGTTCTTACTGTCACTAAGACTGAATTTCTGCTGCAGTCATTTTAACCTTGCCCGTTCTCTTCTTCATCTTCATCTTCAAATCAGTCTCAGTTCTGACAAAGCGATGCACATAAGTCAGTTTGCTTTAAATGCATGAAATTTACTCGAACAACACTGAGGTGTAAGACATCTGATAACCGGACTTCGGTTTGGTTGTGCAGTTTTTGTACTTTGTGCACTTTGGTATTAAAGTGTCATGTTCTGAAATGACACCAGCTGGTATTGATTACACAATAAGCCTTAAATGAAGGGAAGTGAAAAACAACCTCAGGTTCAAAAGGCTTTGAGAGTACACCAGGAATGGAGGCAGTATTGTCCTCTTTTAACTCTTACAGGATCTCTCAATGATTTTCAGAAAAAACTCTTTTTCTTCTGTTTAATAGTTTTAAAACTGCATATTTAAATCTCCAACCCCTACTGACAGTGACTGTTGAAACATGATTATTATAAAAACCCTTACATTTTCAGTTTTAGAAATAAGACAACAAACTTCCGCTCTTGGTTCTAAGGAACCACGAGTCTGGGTTTTTCATTCTCCAGATTATCTCCCTCTGTCATTTGGACTGTGGTTTACCAGAGCACCCCACATTACTCCCTATGAATAAAAGCATGCTTGTGGTTCACAATAGAGCTCCGCTGCACTCTGAGAAGGGGGAAGGGCTTTGCATTCCTCCACTGACCTCCTGTTTGCAGCAGATATTAAACAATAACTGCTGCCTGCAGTGTGCTCATCCCGGATGTGGATGGTTATCAAAAAGATGGGACATAGCTGAGACGGTCCCTGATCAGCACTTACAGCAGGAGATGTGTGCAGGCAGAGAGGATCTGCTTTGTGTGTGTGTGTGTGTGTGTGTGTGTGTGTGTGTGTGTGTGTGTGTGTGTGTGTGTGTGTGCGTGTTTGGAGGAAATGAAGACTAGCATTTAAGGAGATGTGTGCAAAACAATGCAATCATTCAATCTGAGTGACTACCTCGAGAGTTAGGGATTCCTGGAAGATTTAAGCTGAGTAACTGCACATGTCCTGTTTGACTCACTTCTTTAGACAAAGTGCAGCGTTAGGCTCCTGAAAATTCAACTGATTTAAGGACATATCACCTCTTATCGAGCGCACATCTATTATCATTCAGCAGGAGGTACAGATGCCATCTTTCTCAGCCAAAATAGTGCTGATTTAGCCGCCTAGCTCTGTGATTCATGACACTGCTGCCCCTGGATCCTTCAGGTCCTAAAGTGGGGTGTAAATCCTGTCTCAAAGCAGAGTTAACCCTACTTCATCTTTGAGTAATGGACAAGTGTAGGATGTGGCTCCAAAGAGACTCTCAGGGGGTTGTGAGGACAAGCACGTGCTGCCTTTGCCAAAGAAAGTTTGACATGGAGGAAGGGGCCCCACGATGGCAACAACTTCCGAACATCTGCATCAGCAGGAAGAGGAGCACTCGGTAGCAGGAGTCTTTGTTGTTCCACATCCCTTGCAGAAACAAAGGTTAGATGCTGATAAGGCTGCTGCCTGACAAGACCACACAAAGCGTTGTTTGCCTGTTTATCTCCACCTGCTGCTTCAAGCAATGCGGGGGCATGAGTCATGTGCAGGTTGTAACATGATCCCCCATAGCAGTAGTAGGAGAGAGTAGAGTGAGTTGAGCCACCCCCTGTTTCTTGGAAATGGTATAAGAAATTGATCATATGACCAAATATTTAGGAGATGGGCATCAATTCATAGAGTCTGTGAAGGTTAAAGGAACATGGGTGAAGGGGTTAGACTAGGGCTGGGCGATATGGGAAAAAATTATTCACAATATATTTTTTTATATCAGTCAATATATATCACAATATAAAAAAATCACTTGTCAATCTTAAATGTTCCCTGTTACTCGTAAATGAAACTTAACAGTGCTTATTGGTAGCATGTCTTTTGCAATACAATCAACTACTCTATCTGTGAGGTCTTTGTGTCTCTGCGACATTTTGTTGTAAGGCATTGTACAAGAGAAAACAGATGGAATGGCCGGTTCAGTGCGGCGCAGACCCCGAGCAACTCCCCTTTTCATTGGCTATTCATAGTCTACCAAAACATGGCAGAATGCATGCCAGCTATTGAAAAGCATATTGACCATGTTTCATATAATATCATCATCAGGGAAATTCATTTTTGATATATATCATTGTTGTTCTATCGCCCAGCCCTAGGTTAGACATTTATTTCCAAAATAAACATTTTTCACTCTTGAAGGTGAATTTAGTCTGTCATAAGTGTAATTAGAATTGTGGTCAGGCCAAAAAAGATCATTTTAAATTTGTTTTATAGATCATTTGTGGTATCTATGAGCTACAACATGAGGTCAAAAACCTAACATAAAAGTCCACCATTTTAGCTTAGAGGACTAATAAAGTCATCATAGTAGTTCTGGGGTGAGTTAAGCCAGTGGCTCAACTGAGAAAGTGAAGAAGTCTGATGAGAGGATCAGAGTTTCAGTTCAAATTGTTGAAATGTGTTTCTCTTTCTTTTCACAAATACAGCTGTGAATGTTCTGAGTCACTTAAAGACATTCTCATGTTAAAATGGCTTTTTACAAAACAGCTTTTTAGCAGGTATATGCAATAATAATATAATTAATAATTGTACCAGTTGAATAGTGTATAATAGATAAAAATACACATGAATGTAAAGAAGTGACTGTTATTTAGGGAGAGAGATGGTGAGGGAGGGCTGGGGTGGAGAATGGGAGGGTAGTAGGGATACGGCTTAAGTTGACCATAGGAGACCACTTTTTTTGGTTATATTATGAAGACAGTTATGTTTACACTCATTCTGTTGGTTTGCAGGGATGAACAACATCTTGAAATATGCAGATACACTAGTTAGAAACAAAACTATGACTGACTTGATCCAAAAATGAAAGCTGGCTCATCTTAGCCCACTCTCCCCTAATAGTAAAAAGTACAGAATATCTTGCTTTTTAAAGAGAGTTATGGGCATATCAGTATTTCCATGCCTTTAACATTTTTCTCTCAGTGTAGCATTTAAGATTTTTTACCCCTTCTGGTGTGACAGCTTGCAGTGACTGAGTTCATTCCCACTCTCAGCTTCCAGGGTAAAGTTGGAACAGAAAGAAGAAGCCAGGATTGCATCAGGAATGCTGGCAGTTGATGGTTTTCCTCCACTCTTGCGCAGACAGGGGGTGGGGTGCCCGGCTGAAACGGGGAGGAGAAAAAGAGGGGGGATTTGGGAATCATTCTTTGTCCTCACCCGCAGTACAGCGCACAACTGGAGGAGGGAAGGGGTCTCCGCGTAGGGAAAAAGGAAAAAACTGGATCGTTTGATATCAGAGCGGGAGGGCTTCCTTTTTAGAAAGAGAAAACGAAGAAAAAGCTCTCGACAACTTTAAGGAGCCGCCCGGACAAAGAAGGGGAGCTTAAAATCAGAGCTGAAGGTAAGAGAGCACACAAACAAACCCTGCTAACGTTAAAGCGGCAGCATCAACACATAGCTTTTCTTTTTAGCTTTTGCTAACAATGGTGCTTTGGTTGGAGTTATTTCTACAACTTTTAGCCCATGAAGGTGGGTGAATTCTTTCTGAGTGGTGCTTTTGTTTTTTTCCAAGGTTTTTAATCGGATATTTGTCTCCAAACTTAGCAAGGAGGACGATTGTTCTCAGGCTAACTTCAATTTGGGCGCACAGGCTGGAAGTAGTCAGCGCTGATTAAACAACCAAATTGGGCTCGTTGTGTGAAATTTCAGGAAATTTTCGGCGTCCTTTTAAGTTCTCCTTTTGGGTCTTTAAAACTACGGTTGTGCTGAACATGTATGTTGTGTTTTAACTGGGCTCCCCGAGTATGGCTCAGGTTTTAGTGGTGGAAAAAGGCGCAGGAATCCCTGTTTTTTAAATTATTTTTCCTTTTTTTTTCCCCGTGACTCTCACCCATCTACTTAACCGTTTTGTTTTGCAGGTACCTTTAATAATCTGGAGTTTTCTTTGTAACGTACGTGACGCCGTGTCACACGTTACGTAGTTTAACCGTTGATTTTCCGTTCGCGTTACTGGCTGTGGAAGCATGTGGAGCGCCGTGGTGACGTCGCGTCCCGTTAAGCACGAGGGGTTATCTTTCAGGCTTTCATGGCGAAATGATAAGTTTTGGATCTCTATCCAAACTATCGACGTAATCGCTAATTAAACAACCAAATTGGACTCGTTGTGTGAAATTTCAGGAAATTTTCGGCATGCTTTCGCAGTTCTCCTTTGGTTCTTTAAAACTACTGCTGTGCTGAACATCTGTATTGTTGCTTTACGGGGTTTCTCGTGTATGGTTTGGGTTTTTAGTGGTGGAAAGGGGCACAGGAATCCAGTCTCTATATTTATTTATTCCTTTTTACGTGGCTCCCACTCGTTTACAAAATTGTATTGTTTTAAAGGTAACTGAAAAATCCGGAGTTTTCTCTGTAACGAACGTGACGCCGTGTAACACGCTACGTAGCTTTCCCGTTGCTTTTCCGTTAGCGTAACTGGCTGCGGAAGCACGAGGAGCGTCGTGGTGACGTCGAGTCCCGTTAAGCAAGAGGGTTTATCTTTCAGGGTTTCATGGCGATATGATAAGTTTTAGATTTCTATTTCAACTATCAACTTAATCGCCAATTAAATAACCAAATTAGGCTCGTTGTGTGAAATTTCAGGAAATTTTCAGCGTCCTTTTGCAGTGGTTCTTTAAAAACTACTATTGTGCTTAACATGTATATTGTGTCTTTACTGGGCTCCTCCTGTATGGTTCTGGTTTTAGTGCAGGAAAAAGGCGCAGGGATCCTGCCTCCTTTTTTTTCTGTACCCCTAACTGTTACTTAACTGTATTGTTTAACAGGTAGTTGAATAATCTGAAAGTTTCCTTCAAACGTACGTAACAGCTGCTACGCGGTGTAACACGCTACGTAGCTTACCCGTTGCTTTTCCTTTAGCGTTATTGGCGTTGGAAGCATGTGGAGCGCTGTGGTGATGTTGTGTTACGTTAAGCATGAGAGGTTATCTTTTCAGGGTTTCGTGGGGAGTAGATAAGTTTTACATTTCTATTTTGAAATATCAACTTAGTTTTATTTTTATTTTCAAACAAGACTGGACCATCGCACAAGTCTCGTGTAAATTTACTGTGCAACAGCATGACGCGTAACCCATGATGTGAAATGTTGATTTAAGTCTCATTTCTTGGGTCAGTTCAAGGCACGCCTGTCTGTGACTCATATTCTAACATTTTTCACATTTTCCTTGCTAGCCTCTCTGGGCCTCTTTGCCATCAAGCTTCAAGATAAGCGAGGGATAACCTAAACCTGCCTCCCAGATGTGAGGGGCCACAAAAGCCCCTCTGCTACAGAGGCCTTTATCAGAGCTGAAACTAGGGTGCTAGATGGCTGGTTAGTGCTTCAAACAGGTCCAGATGGCAGGTTTTATGTATATTTAATCAGAACTTTGAGTGAAAAGGATTATATCAGGACAACTTAGTACAAAAGAGACCTAAATAACAGTTAGAGGTGATAAACAACATTTTAGCGACAGTCTTCTAATCAAAATGTGGTGATATGATCTAAAACAAAGTCAGTAATTGTTCTGGTCCACATGCATGGAGAAGCCTGAGCTGATTGAGTTTATTGACACAACTGAATTTGATCGCTTTCATCAATATTTACCTTAAACATCTTTGCTTGAAAAAGGAGCCGTAAATGGCATTGTATTACTTATTTATCTGGTTTAATGTGGATGTTAAAACGGCATTCAGAAAATCAAGAGCACTTATTTATGACCAATTTGAGATGGCCTCAAATACAGCATTAAGTATCCAAACACATTTTCTGCTTACTTTGTCATACTGTTAATTCCATTAAGCGAAACTACATCAAATTTTGTAAAGCAGTGCACTTCCTCAGTGGCTCTGTCAGCAAGAAAAGTAAGCAAGTTTTATGATAAGCACACAAACACACACGTCTTAAAACTAACAGAACTTGATTTTCTTTAACAGGCAGAAACATGATATTTAATATTTACCCTGCTGTCACGTTCAGATTGTTTGGTTAAATCTCTCTGTTTGGGGGAGGTTTGACAAACATGCTGACATAAATTTCAGCTCTGACAGTAGCTGGAGGCAAATCCTAGCTGCTAACCCAGATTACAAGCTGCAAAGTGGGCTGCTGACAACTATTCCTTACATGTCGTGTGCAGCCTGACAAAGAGGAATGCAGCTAATATTGTAGGTGACTGACCCTGTGGTTGTAGATACAGCTGATATGGAAGGATTAATGATAGCCGGCAAACTTAAAGTCTGTGTGTAGTTCAGTTGAGTTTCAGACTGAGGATTTTTGATCGATGATAGGAGAACTTGCATTATTGTGCTATTTCTTGTCATGTGTGTGAACTCTAAATCACCCTGGATGTAAATAAAATCAATGATGTTCGAAAACAGTCTGTTCAGCAGATTGATTGGCAATGCAAGTGAGATGTGATAGAGCTGCCATTCATTTGATTCTTGTCAGAGAATTGGACACTTTTGCGCCTGGGTGCCAAACTCTTATCGTTTAAAGGATAGCCATGTCTGAAGTTAACTTTAAAGTCACACCTGTAAAGCACTTCCATTCATGCAGCGCTCCCATTCACACCTTGGGAGTAACCAAATACACGCTCACCCTTTATTTGAGATATGGGGCACTTACAACAACACATATCTGATCATGTACTACACTATAAGTCTGTTATGCTTGATAGGAAATGTTAAACAGTGCAAATTTGGTTAAAGTGATTGTGAATTACACTAGCTGACACATTTAAACTCTTTCACTCATTTGAGGTTAACCCTGTAAAAAGCTAGGATCTCTGCATCAAATCCAGGTATTCAAGTTTCTGTAACGGTTAAAAGGAGACGAATATGTCAGAGTTGAAAACTCTGAACCAATGAAAACTCATTTGCCGTTGCAAAATTTTCCACAGCCTTGTGTTTCTGTTATGGAGCTGAGGCAAAGGCATTGTTACTCCACTTTTATGTGCCCCTGCTTGAGTAAGACTGGTCAGACAGGAATGCTGGGAGATTAAAACATACTGCTTATTAAAAACATGTGGTGGGAACCCTTGTCACATCCTATGGCAAGCAGATAGGCTGAGAACTCGATTGCCATCATAATACCTGCTCATACACGCCTTTAATAATCTGCAGCAGCAAATCTCACCATGAGAAAGATTTCTCATTAGACACGCCTATGATTGCTTTTACTGATCAAGAGTTGATTTCTGGCTCTTTGAAGATCCTTTTTCAAATTAAAAGGACCTAGAAGTTGTAAAACTTATGTATCAAAGTGAGGGACTGAACAATATATAGTTCTCAAACACAGAACAATCACAGCCCTGGCTGTTAACTAGGGTACGAGAGCCAGAGTGGTTTATAGTTTCGCACAATGACTCAGCAGGAGTAGCGGTGAGGTTAATCACAGCTGGTGTGAAACCACAGCAGCTCTGCATTACCTCTTTCTCTTTATTGGCTCTTTACTTTTCTAACCGTAGGCTGACAATCAAACCACAACTGCCTTTGAATTCACAAGAAAAACTGAATGTTGAGGTTTTTTTTTTTTTTTTAGTTTTACATAATTTTTAATTGAATGGGTAGAGTAGGATTTAAGATTCAGGTACAAACAAGTCACTGAGCAACTCATGAGGATGAGGAATGATCATGAATGTTAGCTGCTTCTACATTTTGGCTTGTTTATATAAAGGACTTGTTTGTGTCTTAACACTGAACCTAAATGTCAGATTTCATGTGTCGGTTGTCTGGTTTAGGATGAATAACTTGATGGCTTCACATAGACCTTTTTGGTTTTAATCCAGACAATGCAGCCTCTACATGCTTGGTCATGGCAGTAACATGGAGTGACTTAGCAGTAAAGTATCCTAAGAGCTCCACCTTGTGGCTATTTGTGGCAATAACATGGAAAAACACAAGTTGTAGAACCAGATGTTGTATGAGAATCAATGATAAACTTGACTGTAGGTGCCTGTAATATGATATCATGTAACACAACTGCTCTCTGTTGAATGCGACTAATTTCCCTTTTCTTTTTTTCCCCACAGGTTTGAGAGGTTCCCTCCAAATCTACAAGCAAAATGAGCTGGAGCTTCCTCACGCGTCTGTTGGATGAGATTTCCAATCACTCCACATTCGTGGGCAAAATCTGGCTCACCCTCCTCATCGTCTTCAGGATCGTCCTGACCGCTGTTGGTGGTGAATCTATCTACTATGATGAACAGAGTAAATTTGTGTGTAACACGCAACAACCTGGATGTGAGAACGTGTGCTACGATGCCTTTGCGCCGCTGTCACACATCCGCTTCTGGGTGTTTCAGGTGATTATGATCACCACCCCCACCATCATGTACCTTGGCTTTGCTATGCACAAAATCGCCCGCATGGATGACGACGACTACAGGCCAGGAAGGAGGAAGAGGATGCCGATCGTGAGCAGGGGTGCGAATCGTGACTACGAAGAAGCAGAGGATAACGGGGAGGAGGACCCCATGATCCTGGAGGAGATCGAGCCAGAGAAGGAGAAGGAGGTGGTGGAGAAGCCCTGTAAAAAGCATGATGGGCGCCGCCGCATCAAACGTGATGGCCTGATGAAAGTGTACGTGTTCCAGCTGCTGTCACGTGCCATCTTTGAGGCCTCCTTCCTGTTTGGACAGTACGTCCTCTACGGGTTAGAGGTGGTACCATCTTATGTTTGCACGCGCTCTCCCTGCCCGCACACCGTGGATTGCTTTGTGTCACGTCCCACAGAGAAAACCATCTTCCTCCTCATCATGTACGCCGTCAGCGCCTTGTGTCTGCTCTTCACTGTGCTGGAGATCATTCACCTTGGCATCAGTGGAATTCGGGATTGCTGTTGCGCACCAAGACCGAGACCTCCCCCCCCTCGCCATCCCGCTCTGGGCAGCCAGAGGTCCTCCATCTGCCGCCAGCCCTCTGCACCCCCAGGCTACCACACAGCGTTGAAGAAGGACCCATCAGGGAAGATGAACTTCAGGGACAACCTGGGAGACTCGGGTCGCGAGTCATTCGGCGACGAGGCGTCATCACGGGAGCTGCAGAGGCTGCGCAGACACCTGAAACTGGCCCAGCAGCATCTGGATCTGGCTTATCAGAACGAGGAGAGCAGCCCATCACGCAGCAGCAGTCCAGAGTCCAATGGTACCGCAGTGGAGCAGAACAGACTAAACTTTGCCCAGGAGAAGCAGAGCAGTACGTGTGAGAAAGGTGAGGCTTTGAACGCTACAACTGATCTCATCGCGTCATATTGTGTTTTGTATTTCATAGTATAAAAAGCCTTTCTGACTCTGAATCATCCCTCTGTCCACAGGTCTCCGTGCATAAGTTCTCATCAGTCAAGTTGACACTAAAGGGCAGAGAGTGGACAAACAAAAAGGGAATCAAAGTGAGAGTGTGTGTGCGTGCGTGTGTATGTTTGGCCTGATCTCGCTTGAGGTGGATGAAGTCAACCCAAGCCGTCCAGTGTTACGATCAGCTGTGGTTGAGCAACAAGTCGAATGAGGAGGAAGAGGAGAGCAGTCGTCTTAACCCAGCAATACTTGAGAACCCAGCCTGTCTGAAGATCCAAAGTGCTTACCAACAACCGTCATGCAGCAAGAACGGTGAAGGTTCACGTGTGCTTCTCCCTCAGGGCAGCTATTCTTTTTTTACAAATATTTTTATTACAAGACTTAGAACTATTAGTCTTTTTTTATGAGTTTGTCCTCGTTTTTGAAGTTCGCAGTGAGTGAATCTCAATTTTTTGCCTTAGACCAAAACTGGAACTCCGTGTTGTGGCATTTTGTCGAGGAAAGGCTAAGCCAGTAGTTGAGCAAAAAAAAAAACAAAACAAAAAGAAAAAACGTGTTGTAACTGTACGAATCTTTTGAGCGAGTGCGATGCAAAGAGATGGTTAACGGACAAGGCACCATTCATTGAAAAGAGGTACTGGAGTAGTTATCATTGCTGATGAAGACTTTTCAAGGTGTTAATTTTCATACAAAGGTTTCGTTCATCAAGTGTGTGATGTTTATGACTTTTTTTTATAGTTTTAAAAAAAATGTTGGCACTGCACCAGTCAACATTCCCAAGCCTGGTGCCTCGACGGTAACTGGAACACACTTGGGGTGCCTTTGTCCAAAGGAATAAACAAACCTGGGTAATGCTTGAAAAACATGTAACTCTTGATATTGTATTGTATTGTTTAAACGTGTATTTGATACTGTTCTTTATTTTTGTAGTAGTTTTGACTGTTGTGCGATTGAAAAAGGCTCTTGTCACTGTGGCTTTTTTTATTTTAAAAGGAATGACATTCACTGCTGTCTTAGCTCCCTAAAGCCAGATTTAATCATTGACTGGTCTGTTCGAAATAACGGTCAGGTACGATTGTAGTTCAAGTGCAACAGTTCTTTAATTTTCAATAATACACATCTTGGTTTTAATTTTTATACATCTTACTTGACCAGGTTACATTCCCCATTTCTGTTTGAGTTAAACAGTGTATGTATCTTGAATAAGGGATTTTACTGTCTGTCACGTTCCATGTCTTTAAGTGCTGATTTCTGGATCAATGTTATCAGTGGTCCAGAATCTCAAGAGTTGTAAATGATCAAATCATTTCAATGTGAATTCAATGCCTTGAATGCGCTCTTCCAAGACGCCATCTTTTGTATTCTGAATCATACCCACAGTGCCATTAGTATCAACTCAAATATTGTCATCTCAAGTTATTTTTGAGCAATGCTTTTTGTACTTTTTATACTTTTTGTATTGATAGTACTTTGTGGTTAGTTTTTACAATAAATTTTTTCTCAACAAATTACAGTTTTCCAGAGTTTTGTGTATATTTTACTTCCATTACCAAAGACAAGCATTTAGATCTGGGTGAACTCATTGATTTGTACATAAACTGCTAGACTTTGAATTAACATATTAAAGGTTTTGGTAACCACCTTTTTCTTATAATAGCGGTTAGCAAACAGCGTATAGGTGCACTATCATCACATTCTAGACATAGTGGATCACTTTTGCCGGAGCTCAGTTGTTGAACTTTAACCAGATGTGCAGCACAGTATGTATAAACCAACAGTGGCCTCTGGTGGCATCAGCTGATATCTATGAATGGTGTAGTTTGACAGCTCTTCAGCTGCTATGTGTCCCAGGCAATAAATCTTTTACTAAAGCCAAACTAATATCAGAGCTTTATTTTCTCAATGAATAAGGGTTGATTTTTTTCTCTCATGAAAACAAGCTTTGCTCTGTGACCTAAATTAAAATACATGAGACATTATTGAGTAACAGGAAGACTTCTGTAGTTCACAGTGCAATACATCCTGCGTGGCGTAATATCTTCTGCTCCACAATGAGAGTGCAGATAATGCTTATCACACACATGAAGACAAACTAAGTGTTAAGCATTGTCTATCTAAAGCACTTAAAGTAAATCAAAGGAAATTCAGGCCAAGCTTTTATCACAAATAATGTTTATTGTCCTGTGATTGCAGTTAAATGAAGTGTTTAACTTTTTTCCAACCATGCAAGCAGTACAGCTACAATAAAAAATGAATTAACTGTGGCTTACACTGCATGAAATAACGATCAGTTTTTTGCTGACAACAAAATAGTTTTGCAAATCTTTAGGTTACATGTATTAATCATAAAATGAAGCTTCAGTAACGTATCAGACATGTTTTAAAATCAGTGAATGAAAAACAAAGCAAATAAAATCTGCTCCGTACAATAATTTGGATTTTCTTTGAATCTTTTCAACCCAACTTTAAATTAGCAAGTTGGTGAAAAAAAGTTTCACCCATGCAGTTTGGACTTTTGCTGTTCATTTACCATGTGAGTTGGACCCCCCTTAGTCTACATTTTTTATCATAAAAATACCTGGGTCCATGCTTTTTGTCTTGGACAGTTTTTGTTTTCTACACAAGTAAACGGTGCAAACAATACCTCCAACTGATAAAACTATTAGAACCGAAAACATGGTGTTAAGTCCAGTCACAGCATCAGAGACAGAAAGCTCCATTCCCAGGAAGCGAACACTGGCAGGAGGAGGTGGCTTGACCGGTGGGTCTGTTACCGTCTCAGGTGTTGTTGTCTTACTTATTGTCGGCTCAGCTGTTGTCGGTATACTTGTTGTTGGTCTACTTGTTGTCGGTCTACTTGTTGTTGGTCTACTTGTTGTCGGTTTACTTGTTGCTGTGAAGAGGCACAAAAGTGATATTTAATTAAAAAAATTATTAAGAGTGACTTCACTTCACATAAAGAAATATTACGAAAAGTTACCATACTGAGCTACAGCTAAATGCTAACTAATGTTAGCCTAGTATAAAACCTGTGAGCACAAGGAACTCATGGCAACATCACCTGCTGAATACATTGGTAGCAAGATCCAGGGGGTTGCTGACCACATTTTTGCACTGAAGTTTTGTATATTAAAAAGACAAAACACTTTGATCTGCCAGCCTGTTTTTATGTAGAATTAACCACAGACAGGCCACCTATTTACCAGTGCTACAGTCTCAACGTTTTTCAGAAACTGAGTACTTTCTATGTCATGACGGATTTTTTTCTAGACAAGACTACTGCCATTCAAGATCTATTTGGATTTACATACGTTCAGGCTCTGGTTTCAAGCAGTCATGGGGTCCCTCAGGGAATCCATTGCATTTTATGATGGTACCGTAGCGTGCGACAGATGCCTTTGCCACTCGAGTCAGATTGGGGTCTGTGTGGTTCACATAGAACAGGCCAAATCTCTCAGAGAAACCAGTGGCCCACTCCAGGTTGTCCATCAGAGACCAAGCTGTGTATCCACGGATGTCCACCCCATCGAGCAAGTACGCTGGAAAGAAAGTCAGAACGCCATTTGACATGTAAGTGAAAAACGAGCCTGTAAATTAACAAGAAATGTTGTAGCTCATGTTTTCCTTTCAGAATTTAGAGTTTTTTATACATGACATGTTATTTGTTTGTTATGATGCTCCGAAATGATCTCTTTAAAAAATGTAGGACTATGAAAGTTGTAGTTTGTTACCTTTTAGCACCTGGTTGATGTATTTTTCATAGTAGTAACTCCTGTGAAAGTCATCCAGGTCAATAGGCCCTCTCTCTGACATGCCATTTTCAGTGATGATAATTGGTGGATCTCCATATTCTTCCTTGATGAAGTTTAATATCTTTCGAAAGCCAAATGGGGAGACCTTCAGCCAGGATGAACCTGAATCCAGCCAGGTACGATCAGCAATGGTCCCTGCACCCCTGAGAGGATTAAATGCATCAATTTATTATAAAAACTATGCTTTAAATGGAAAACAGATTTGAGTAAATTATTTTGATTGATTAGTATGTGATTATCATGGTTCAATCACTTGGATTGTTACTGCTTACCTATCAGCATCGTAGTGCTGAAGATTATGGTATTCCACAGGGAATGCCAGTACTGTGGTGTAATGGTTGAACCCAAAATAATCATAGGTCCCCTTTATCCTTTTGACCTCCTCAGGAGTAAACTCCGGCAGCCTAGAGAGATTGTATTGAGCTAATTAGATTTACCAAATAAATGAGGAAAAATGGCTGTCATTTCCGTAGTAGAACATTTGTAATACCGAGATTTTGGCAGACCAACGGCTAAGCTTCTTTCTCGAATGATGGTCTTCATCATGTCGCTGTAGTCCCCATTGAAAACTGGATGGGCAAACCAGCCGATGTAGAACTACACAAGATAAATATAGGCTATCAGAGACCTTAATTCTTCTGAGAAATGTCAAAAAAATCCCATCTGAAATGAAGGAATCAACACACAATTGCATTTTTTTTTACTGCATTTACCTGCACCACGCGTCTTGCGGCATCGATGTCCTCCTGTTTATAGGGGTTTCTGGGCTCTGACCAGTCAGAGTTGATAGTGATTGAGATCATTCCTTTCTGTGTGGCCCGGTATTTTTCATCATAGAGATGCCAGGCCTCAGCATGAGCTTTCAGAAGGTTGTGTCCCACAATATAGGGCAGAGTGCCTGGTCTGAAACTGATCCCTGGACACATAAGGAATATTAGGAGCGCTTACTCTCTGGTTAATCCATTAGCTTTGTAATTAGTTAACCAGTAAAAAATTACAAAGCTAGTAAGTCAGTCCACAACACATATGTATCACAAATACAAAGTGGTAGGGTGGTAACCCCACCTGCTGGAAGCATTGTTGGCTGCTTACAGCTTGGTACCAGTAATTTCAAAGCATACCTGGGGCAGCTGCTCCATAGCCATGGCCCACATTTGCTATATTGTACGGCTCATTAATGGTGATCCAAAGTTTCACTTTGTTGCCAAGGCTGTCGAAGATTAGGTCAGCGTAATCCCTGAATTTGGAAATAATTGTGTCATTCTCCCAACCCCCGATGTCCTGCAGAGCTTGAGGGAGATCCCAGTGGTAAAGAGTGATCTGGCAGCAGCGAAAAGACAGTTAAGGTTACCCAAGTTACCAACTTTCCATTACTTTATAATACTTAATTTTAAGATAGTGTATAGATTTATGCTTACATGTGGTTGGATGTTTGCGGCGAGAAGTGCATCCACCAGTCTGTGGTAATAGTTGAGTCCAGCCTGATTGATATTCTTGGTGGTACCATCAGGGAGCACTCTTGGCCAGGATATAGAGAAACGATAATGATTCACCCTCAGCTGCTTCAAAATAGCAACATCCTCATCCACTTTATGGTAACTGTCACAAGCTATGTCACCGTTGTCATCGTTAAACACGCGTAGAGGAGTGTGTGCAAACTTGTCCCAGATACTGAGACCTTTTCCATCTGCTCTCCAACCTCCCTCTATCTGGAAACAGAATGAGGAGCTTTTAATGGACAAAACAGACCAAAAGATGAGGCACAAAACCTGGATACACTGTTTATTAATTTGGTTTGTCTTCACAGTTACCTGGTATGATGCTGTTGCAGTACTCCATACAAAACCTTTGCGGAAATGTCCATGCAGTACCTTCTCATCGTCTGGTTCAGGGAATCCATTGTCTTTTATGACTTGGTGGTAGAAGTGAGCTGAGTATTTGGGGGTCCTTGGCCGATTTGGGTCAGTGAAATCCACATGATGTAACCCAAATCCAAATTTGTATCCATTAAGCCACTCAAAGGAATCCATGAGAGAGGTTGCTATGTAGCCTTTCACCTTAACTCCATCAAGGTCATGTGCTGTGGTTAAAAAATACACAGAAAAATAAATAATCAAAATCATCAGCCATCATAAAATCATAAAGACAACATAAAGAATTATATTAATGGCAAAGCACCTTTTAAAGCTTCATCGATGTAGGTCTTGTAATAAAATACTCTGGCAGTGTCATCCAAGTTTTTGCCTGCTTCTGTAGCCACTCCATTCTCAGTGATGTAAATCTCTGGATCTCCATACTCTTCCTTGATCCAGTTCAGGAGTCTTCTTAAGCCCCATGAAACAGCCCTCTGTTTACTAATTGCAGTCGTGGGTGACTCTTTTTCCTCCTCTTCTGAATAGTCTTTGTCATGTTCATAAGATTGAGGGGACAGCCGAGCTGTAATGTGGCTTATAATCTTTGTAGTGTAATGATTAACACAGAACACATCAGCTGTTCCCCTGATGAAGTTCTTTTCCTCTTCAGTGAAAGAGGGGAGTCTTGTCTCTGGTAGACCTTGGAGTTCACTTTTGTTCCCTACTTGCCACTTTATTGCATCAGGATAGTCGCCGTTCTTAAAAATGGGATGTGCAAACCATCCCAGTTGGAACTGCAGAGCCCGGTCAGCGGCCACTACTTCTCGGGGAATGTTAAGATCAACAGGCTCCACCCAGTCAGAGTTGAGGGCGATGGATACCAGACCACCTTGGGACTTTCGATATTTATCATCATAAGTGTGGTAAGCTTTGGCATGTGCTTTTATCAGGTTGTGCGCAACTTTGTAGGGAGCAGTACCTGGCTTCTTGACATTTGGTGGAATCTTTCCAAGACCATATCCTGACCATGCAATTGTGTGAGGCTGGTTAAAGGTCATCCAGAATTTCACCCTGTCACCAAAGGTGGCAAAACAAAAGTCACAAAAGTCATTGAAAATGTCAATCATGTCAACATTGTCCCAACCACCAAGGTCTTGCAAAGCTTGAGGAAGGTCCCAGTGATAGAGTGTCACCATGGGAGTGATGTTGTATGCTAAGAGGTCATCTATGAGTCTGTTGTAGTAGGCCACACCTTTCTGGTTCGGGGAGGCACGCCGACCATCAGGAAAGATCCTGGACCAAGACATGGAGAATCTGTATGACTTCACCCTGAGAGCTCGTAACATGTAGAGGTCTTCATCTAGTCTGTTGTAGCTGTCACAGGCCACATCTCCGTTAGCATTTGCAGGAATACTACCAGGTTTGTGGGTGAATGTATCCCAGACACTTGGCCCTTTCCCATCAGCATTCCAGCCTCCTTCGATCTGGTAGGCTGAAGATGATACCCCCCAACTGAAGCCATCAGGGAAAGTGCCGTAATGGTACATTTTTGTCTTGAATTTTGTCTGGTGTGAGAATTTCTCCCAGACAATCTTTGCTTTCGATGGAACTTCTGAAGATGATAAACCAGTTGTTTTGTGGGTGGATTGCATAATTGTGTCTTTGATTACATGCCCATGATGGGAACCAAATCCATTTTGCCGAATAACCTGGGCATAGAAATATGCAGACTGCTTTGGGGTTCTTGGTCTGTTGGTATCATCAAAGTTGACATAGTGCAAACCAAATCTTTCTCTATAGCCTTGCGGACCTTCAAATCCATCCATTAGTGACTGCACTGTGAACCCCTGCACATCCACTCCATCCAAGAATACAGCTACAAAATGAAAACACACAAAACAAAGCAGCAGAGTTAAATTACTTTTACTCTATGTGAGGCTGGTGATCAGTGAGTGAAAATTTGGAAACTAACCTTTTAAGGCCTCATTGATGTAACTCTTCATGTACTCTACTCGATCTGTGTCATTGATCGTATCCCCACTGTACTCAGTTGGCATACCATTCCCAGTTATGTGGATAGGCACTTGGGTGACATTTAAGTACTCTGTGGAGATGTAGTTCAGAAGCTTTCTAAGCCCCCAAGGTGCAGAATAGATCCAGTCAGAAGCTGTAGAGGACCATGTTGGGTCCACATCTTCCAGGAAGTCACCCACCCCATGAGGACCAGGGTTACAGCCTCCATCACTGCTGTTGACCAACCGTGACGTGTAGTGGTTCAACGCAAAAAAGTCTGCTGTACCTTGTATCCTCTTGCTCTCTTCAGCTGTGAAAACTGGGAGTCTTGCTGGCTCAGAAGGGGGACAATCTTTTCTTTTCTGCTCAATCTGTGTTTTTAATGTTTCAGGGTAATCTCCATTCACAAATATGGGATGTGCAAACCAGCCCAGCATGAACTGCAGGTAGCGATCTGCAGCTGCGACATCTTCAGGTTTAGAAGAGCTCATGGGTTCAGCCCAGTCAGAGTTCAGTGCAATGCCTACTTTCCCTCCTTGTGTCTTCCTGTATTTGTCATTGTAGGCATGCCAGGCCTCAGCGTGGGACTTAAGGATATTGTGTGTGACCTGTAGAGCCAAAGAAAAATGCTTAGAAAGTGTATTATATATAACCATAAAACTCAGCCCAATCTTGTAGAAGAGTTGCTCTTACCTGATAGGAGGCAACCACATAGTCTTTCACTTCAGGGGGATGCTCACCAGTGCCATACCCAGCATGGCTCACCACCCAAGGGCTGCTGAAAGTGTTCCAGGTCTTGACCCTGTCTCCAAACCTGGAGAAGCAGAAGTCTGCATAGTCCTTAAAGGCATCAACAATGGAGGCATTGGTCCATCCACCGTAGTCTTGGAGTGCCTGGGGCAGATCCCAGTGGTAGAGCGTGACAACAGGTTGAATGCCAGACTCAAGCGAAGCATTTATAAGTTTGTCATAGTAGAGAGCCCCTTTTTCTGATACACTTCCTCGGTGGCCTGAAGGGAAAATCCTGGCCCAGGAGATAGAAAACTGGTAGGTGTTGACATGGAGACCTCGCAGAAGGTAGACATCGTAATCCACCTTGTTGTAACTGTCACAGGCTAGATCAGCTGTCTGGTTTTCAAAAGCCTTGTTTTCATGGGCAAAACGATCCCAAATGGTTTCCCCCTTTCCACCTTCCATCCAGCCACCCTCAACCTTGAAGGACTCACTGGAGGTGGCCCACTGGAAGCCAGAAGGGAATGATTCATTGAGGAAAAGATCTCGTTCTGCTGTGGTCTGGGTCTTAAACTTATCCCATACTATCTGATAACTGTTTGTAATTCCACTGTGGTCTGAAACACTGTGGCTGTTGGAGAAGAGAGGACATAAAAGAGTTTAAGTATTGATGAAACTAGTGTACCCATAATTTGAAACTCATCAAATTTACGAGGTTTGGCGTTACCTGATTGGCGCATCCTGTGGATCCAGCCCTCCAAACGTGGCCATCATGTCACATCCCACAATTTTTAGGTCAGTGTTTTTTAAAGCTGTGGTGTGTAAAACGCAAAGTTACTTACAGGCACATGATAAAAATTAAAGCTACTATGTTGACTATAACAACAGGGTTTCACAATGACTTAAGATAAGATATAAGATCAGAAGAACTTTATTTATTTGTCAAATTCATTGAATATCTGAGGCTGCATCATGCACCTTCTTTGGAGAAAATGCCATTCTCTTTTCCTACAATGTTTGACTGTGTGTTGGATACCAAACAGATCAAGTTGTTTTTTGTATGGACCTCAAGGAAGACCTAAGTTTGGACCAAAGCAAGGTCATGATTTTACCTGTCAGACATTACAACCATATTAGTGCCATGTGATAACATTTCTGATAACGTCTGTCATTACTGTAAAAGTTTATGGTATTACAGGTTAGCCCTGATGCTCAGAACCCACAGAGGATAGTTATTGTTTTTAAATATCTGTAAGCTGTGAAGAAACCAAATAACAGGAAAAAAAGGTCTTCACATATACCTTGTAAGAGATTTCCAAGAGGCTGGAACTGGTCAAAGGAACAATCATGGACAGTCATCTTGAGTATCAGGATGGGCAAATTGCCACTGGATTTCTACATCAAAAAATACACATGACTGAAAAGTAACTAAAACACAAGAAGTGAAATGAAAAATAAAAAGAGTTCTACTTTATATTGCACCTGTAGGGCATTCAGGTCTTTTGCAAAGTTTGATCCAGAGGCGCAGTTATATTCAATCTGTACTGACAGGAAATCCATCTGTACAAAGAAAGATATGCACATGTTAAAAGACATTTTTGCATCAAAAGAGCTATAAATCTGTATCTCAACCACCAGTATACCTGAAACCATAGACTTTAAAAACCATAAATGTAGTCTACTATTCCTATTATTTTGTTTGGAAGAAGAATCAGGAATAACGTCAAACACAGATTTTGCTTTGGTATTGATGGGTTTTCCTTGGCTTTAGGAGCTGATCTATGAGGCACTGCGGCTTTTTACACTTTCACATTAGCTCAACTTGTCCACACCAAATGTTGCTGATAGAAACCCAAGATTTACATGATCATTAATCCAGCCTCTTGGCCCTCAGAATAAGAATTTCCATGTCCGTTCTGAAATTTGCCAATCATTGAAAAACTGTATACATAAAGTTTGTTGTTGTGCTCTGAAAGTGTGTGAAAGTGCAGGGAAAAGACAGGACCACAAATTGCTGATAAAGTGTCAGCACTATAAAAGAGTTCAGATAAGGAGAGGTGTAAACATCCTGAAATGCTGACAATTTATTTCAGAACATGCTGAATTGTATAAAATAAGATATTACCAGGACCCTCTCAAGATAAAATTATACTTTCAAAATGGTCACTTACCAAAATAAAGGTGACGTTTATCTGAAATACAGTATTTGAATCTTCCCAGTATTTTTTAGGCTATTTTACTTTACTGCAAAGCGTTTCATTTTAAACAGCTCCTGAGCAAAATTTATTGAAAAAATTTGGTTTAAAGATAAAAATTAGGATTCATCTTACTGTGGTTGAATCTTTCATCTGGGATAAAACTGATACATCAGTTCCTCTCAACCCCAGTGAGAGACGCCCACCTGTAATGAAAAAGAAAAGCTTTAAAAGGATAGTTCAGAGTTTTTGAAGGCTGCTCCTATTGAGTATTTATCAACAGTAAGAGTATTTCCAGTTGACATTTGACTGCATAAGACTCTGTGACAGACCTTAGTCTGATTTAATCCAAATTATTGTGTCATGTTTATTTTATCTTCAAAGCTTTTAATTATTTCCATGTTTAAAAAGTAAAATGTCAGCAGTGGAAAATATCTATAGGCACATGCTGTACAGTGAAATCTGAGATTGGACTCGTTTATTGGCAGTGTGAGTTAATCTAATCTGCACCATAAATCATTGGGTGAAAGATCATTTGATTATGAAGGTTGAAATTATGCAATTTTCTCTCTGACAAGACAACACTGTATCAAATAACAGAAGGATTATATAAAGTATAAAATGGTCAAATGACACTAATAAAACTTGATAAAATTTTACAAAAAAAAAAAAAAACTTAATGAAGAAGCCAGTCTTTGTCATTTTTAACTCTCCCTGTCTTCGCCGTTTCAGTTTTTACTTACCTTCTCCAGGGAACATCTGATGGTACAGCAGGTAAATGTTCTTGTTGAGCTGGAAGATATTCTGCAGAGGACTTGGTGCATCCTCCAGCTGTCCATCAACATCCACGTCACTCAGAGTCACCCATGAGTGTGCAAGGGCTCCAAACTCTGTAAAAGCAAACTCTGCATACTGCTGAAACACCTCCACCAGCTGCTGACTCTCCCAGCCTCCATACTTTGATCTCAGAGCTTCTGGCACCGTTGATCCATGGAGGATAACCAGAGGCTCCAGCCCCACCGCCAGCAGCTGTTTCAGCAGAGTCCGGTAACAGGTGACCACAGACTGCTGTGGCTGGCTGGAGAGGCCTGTTGGAAGGAGCTGAGTCCATGACAGTGGCACTTTGAACTGGGTTACCCCTCTTTCCTGGAGGTACTCAAAGTACTCCTTAGAGCCCGGAGGGATGGGATCACTGCAGTCAAAGTCATCATTCACCACCCTGTCTGCATTTCTCAGAGGCCCTCCAACAAGCATGAAGTCCTCCTCTTCATTAACACCACGACTTAGGCAACCGTACAGACAGAGAGAATACAGAAACGCTAACCACAACAGGTACTTCATTGTGGCGTGAAAAGGATGGACTGATGCTATCAACTGATTTCCAAGCTCTTAAAAGCAACTCTGTTTTGCATCATTACACAATTAAGATGGTTATCATATCCAAGCAGTCCAAGTGTTTTATTGCAGCTGTGAGATACAGTACATAAGACTCTGGACTCACAAGTCAAGTGATAAGCTAATCCTTTCTTGGGCCATGTTTAAAAACCATGTTTGAGCCATAAACCACAGTATATGATGTTTCAACAGCATGCAGGGTCATTTATGAAGCCACAGTAGAGCAGCTGACTAGTGAGATAACTCAGATTTGAGGCAACACATGCCAGAACATACAAGAAACACGTAAATCAAGTAAGTTCAATATTTGACTACAAACTCCACTTCTTCTGAACCAGCTACCTCTACAGCAGCTGTCAAAACAGCTAAACCAGATGGTATGAGTAAGACCCTGGCAGATGCATGGACACTGCACATTGTTGACTTTGTAGAAAGCCATAGAAGTCTTGACATAAGATGACAGCTCTGCTGTTTTCACCAACTTTACCTGAAAAGACACCTGAGGACACAGAAGTGTATCTAATTTAAAGTAACTGACACGATACGATTCTCTTCACAGAGACAATCAACACCAAACTTTCTTAGAAATTTATGATAAGACTAAGTAAATATGACATAGCCAGTGATGAATCTCATTTCTTTACAACACGTTATGTCACTGTAAGGGTGTAAAACCACAATCAAATTAATATAACCTGACATAACTGATCCTCTGCATCATAAATCCCAATAAATTATTAACCACAGTATCACACCTGGTTTAGCAGTTAAGCACTTTTTCCTCTTTTTTATTTCAGCCATAAATGACTGTTAAGTTTATTCTTATTGCTTGAGTGATGGTTTTTATCAGTGCCTGAATAGGATTGATGATGAATAAATTTAACCCATTGCTAATTACCAAGTTCTGTCCATGAGCATTTGGTTTATTAACAGCAACTTTTCAGTCTCAGACCTTAATCGGTTTGCTCGACAAAGATCTGAGACTCAAAACGTTGGAGAGTGTGTGGGATTCTTCCTTTTTTTAACAACTTAGAAAAGTATTAAAAGACCATGGCAGACACGGTAGTGGCTCACTCCACCATATCCAGGGCTGTGTCTCATTTCAGAGACCGCATCCACCTAAGTGCCCTTCTGCACCGTCGAACGGTGCATTTGAAGTGTGCATGACGTCACGACGGTGCGAACGGTGTCCCGTTTGGCACGAGATGCTAAAAAATGCTAAGCGCGCTTAGCATGTTTTCAAGCGTGCATTTATCCACGCTTTCGTGCCGTCGGTATCCCAGAATCCTTTGCGTGCCGCTGCACAGCTGCGCATTTCAGGTGAGAGGCTGGACTCGCTTGGAGACGCAGCGCGTCTTCAAAGAAATTACAAGCAATCCAAAAACAGCAGACAGTCAGCTCAGGCTGTATGAGAGCATGATCTCTGAACTCACTAAAATCTGTTAACCAAACATTATAGATTTAGAGACGAACTGATCCGCTCTGCTTCAACAATCAAAAACATTAGAAATAAGAAAGCTGACAAAACTACAGCAGAGGATCAGGACAACATTGAGGTTTTTTTCTTTTAAGATTTAGAGATTAAAGTTGTAAATTTAGGAGAATAAAGTCATAAAGTAAATAAAGTCATAAAGCTGCTTTTGTGGAGGGGGAAATGACTGAAGCTGGTCATCTGCAGGGTTATCAGTGGATGTATCAGCGGGTCATTCAGAGAGATTTTGTGGTTTCTGAAGAAACAATCAAACTGATGATGATCAACATTTGTGATCCAGAGGGAGTCGAGCTCCGACGAGCACCACGTCTCTGACATCGGCCGTAGCCTACACCTGCAGAGACACCAACACCTTATTATGGCATATGGATTCATATCATAAATTAAAGCTCAATGTCATTCACGGATCTTTACGGCTGCATTGACAGATATATCCTCAGCATATTCATTTCTGCCTCCACAAAAGCAGCGATTTCCTTCAAGTACACCAGTTTTTTCCCCGTGGAAAAGACGTATTTCTCATATATTCTTTTTTTAAAGTCTTTATACTTATGACAATGTGATGCTGATGTGCCAGAGGATGAAGAATCTCCTATCCTCCTTCTCAATAGGGCCCTCATACTCCTTCATACAAAACAATCATTGGATGAATTTTGTGGGAATGATCTGGGCTTGTATGTATCTACTATTTTGTGTCTGTGCAAGGTCGCACAATTAAAACAATACATGCTGCGCTCCGCAGCTTTTTTCTAGTCAGTCGTGACGTAAGCCTGAGGGCGGGGACATTTGGAGACCTTCGGAGGACTTCCTGGTGGAGTTGCCAAATGTCCCCGCCCTCAGGCTCGCGTCACGACTGACTTAAAGGAAACCCGCGGAGCGCAGCATTTATTGTTTTAATTGTGCGACCTTGCACAGACACAAAATAGTAGATACATACAAGCACAATTCATCCAGTGATTGTTTTGTAAGAAGGAGTATGAGGGCCATATTGAGATTTAAGACTTTAAGGACTTCGAGATTTAAGTCGTGAATTTACGAGAATAAAGTCATTAATTTATGAGAATGAAGTCATAACCTGTTATTTCAGAGAGACTTGTTAAAATTAGGGCCATGAAGCATTTGAAGGAACTGTGCTTCAGTATAGGTTTCACAAACAAGGAGATTCTTCATCCTCTGGCACATCAGCATAACATTGTCATAAGTATAAAGACTTTAAAAAGAATATATGAGAAATACGTCTTTTCCACGGGGGAAAAATATTGGTGTACTTGAAGGAAATCGCTGCTTTTGTGGAGGCAGAAATGAATATGCTGAGGATATATCTGTCAATGCAGCCGTTAATATCCGTGAATGACATTGAGCTTTAATTTATGATATGAATCCATATGCCATAATAAGGTGTTGGTGTCTCTGCAGGTGTAGGCTACGGCCGGTGTCAGAGACGTGGTGCTCGTCGGAGCTCGACTCCCTCTGGATCACAAATGTTGATCATCATCAGTTTGATTGTTTCTTCAGAAACCACTAAATCTCTCTTAATGACCTGCTGATACATCCACAGATAACCCTGCAGATGACCAGCTTCAGTCATTTCCCCCTCCGCAAAAGCAGCTTTATGACTTTATTTACTTTATAACTTTATTATCCTAAATTTACAACTTTAATCTCTAAATCTTAAAAGAAAAAAAAACCTCAATGTTGTCCTGATACTCTGCTGTAGTTTTGTCAGCTTTCTTATTTCTAATGTTTTTGATAGTTGTAACACAGCGGATCAGTTCGTCTCTAAATCTTTAATATTTGGTTTAGAGATTTTAGTGAGTTCAGAGATCATGCTCTCATACAGCCTGAGCTGACTGTCTGCTGTTTTTGGATTGCTTGTATTTTCTTCGAAGACGCGCTGTGTCTCCAAGCGCGTCCAGCCTCTCACCTGAAATGCACAGCTGTGCAGCGGCACGCAAAGAATTCTGGGATACCGACGGCACGAAAGCGTGCATACATGCACGCTTGAAAAAGAGGCGGGGGTAGTGTGGTTTTGAGACCGAATTTGAAGCGCGCTTAGTATTTTGTGCCAAACGGGACACCGTTCGTGCCGCGTGGTGACCTCACGTACGCGTCAGATGCGCCGTTCGATGGCTGCTGTGTCTGAAATGGGACACAGGAAGGGCACAGAACGGCGCAAAACGGCGTAAAACGGCTTAAAACGGCAGTGCACTCAGCTAAGCGCCGTTAAGCGCGCTTATCACGATGCGGTCTCTGAAATGAGACACAGCCCAGGAGTTTTCCCCCCTGTTAAATATTGTCACTAGATGGCGCTCTTGCGCACTTATTTTACTGTTCTGTCAAAGGTCGCACTGTGCGTGCAGATGTGACATCATTACGCTGTATGTACGCCTTAACGGAGGAGCAGACGCAACACCTGTGATTGTGTTTTATGCCAGAGTGGATTGGAACCTCTTGTACTGGCCTCAATAAATAAAGAGTGAAGATCGAGTCAGGTAAGAGAGTCACGATCGGAATAAGTGTTTACATGGACACGTTTTGGAATAACGATTGGCATAAACCACCTCTCTCGATTGAGCCGAATTAGATCAGAAGCTTCCGATCGACATGTTAACATGACGCATTTTTATTCCGATCGGGCATTTATTCCAGTCATTTATGCCCATGTCGACGCAGCTACCGACTGCTTGTCTGAGGTTTCTCTCTGGAGCTCTAATGTCATATCGTTTCCCTCAAACACATGCAAAAAATAAAAGTCTTACTTGTTCAGTAATTTGCATCAAAACAGTTCAATATATGATCACTTGGAGTTCATGTTTTACCTGCAAAATGTTTACAATTACCAACCAACCAACCAAAGTAGTGGCCTGATAACTGTAACTTTTGTACCACTATGATAACACATGACTCCTGCATTGACACAATCTTCACCCAGTTAAGATTTTGGAGATCGAGCACGTGGGCCACATAAACATTCAAACTGAAACACTGCGTTAATGTCACACTCAAACGTTTGTGTAACGCATGCACAATGTTCTCCACTGTAGAGGTGGTATAACTGAGTTTGATATGTGTAATTTTCTGGATACCGGTATGAGTTTGTTTTGGTTATTGATTTCAAAGAGCTGTGGTAGTTGTGTAACTCACCTGGCAAAAAAATAGAAGTTTACAACAAGGTAAGATTTCTGCTTGGTTGTTACTATGTTTTCAAATCAAACGAATAATGCAACAAAAAAATGGTAACTTGTTTTGCAAATACATGTTGCTGCAGGGTTCAGATGCATTTTAAAATTACACTCGTGCATTTTTTTATTTTTATTTTTTATAAAACTACAATTTCAATGAAAATCTACATTCCCAAAGTCTTAGCAATGTTTATTTTGTTTTTTTGCTGAATAAATATTACAAACTTAGGTGCATTTTCCAGGTGGACAGAAAGTAAACATCTAGCATAGTGACTTGTACCACAGATAAATCGAATTCTTAAAATATTCTCCAAAAATTAGTCAGAGGAGTTGGCTGGTTCCAGAAACCACATCTCTCTACTATTAATATTGATGACAAATTCTGTTATCCTCTTCGTGAAGCGATATCATTTCTCACTTCAGACTTGGTGTTTTTCCGGGCTTATTTCTTGACCTCTTCACCTGTTTTCTTCCCTTTATCATGTTTCTCTGCCTCTGGTCCGACCCCCTGTATTTATCAAGAGCATTCAAGGCCACAGCAATTCCTCAGAAGACACCATAAAATATCAGAGCAGAGATGACCCTTCGTACAGTCAGGTCTATTATGAAACCTCACTTAGACTGAAAGTTCAGGCTTGTAAACAGTGTGACTATAAAAGGTCAGCTGTCTCATGGCTGATTCAGTTCCCCACACTCGGACACCAGGATGTTTCTGGGGAAGCTTCTCGCTCTGTATGTGATCTCTGTGTTTGGGTGCATGTGCCAGTACCCTAATGATCAACAACAGGCGATGTTTCTTGCAGGTCCCATGACCAGAGAGCAGGCGGAAGGTCTGAATGGAAAACCCACTGACTGGGCTTTATTGGACACATTTGACTGCAGTCATGCTCTACCCGCAGAATCACGGCAGTACTTTGAGTACCTCCAGGAAAGAGGGGTAACCCACTTCAAAGTGCCGCTGTCATGGACTCAGCTCCTTCCTACAGGCCTCTCCAGCCAGCCGCAGCAGTCTGTGGTCACCTGTTACCGGACTCTGCTGAAACAGCTGCTGGAGGCTGGGCTGGAGCCTCTGGTTATTCTCCATGGATCAACGGTGCCAGAAGCTCTGAGATCAAAGTATGGAGGCTGGGAGAGTCAGCAGCTGGTGGAGGTGTTTCAGCAGTATGCAGAGTTTGTCTTTGGGCAGTTTGGAGAGCTGGCAGAGAACTGGGTGACACTGGGCAGTCTGGATGAGCTGGAGGAGTCTGATCTGCAAAAAGCTCTTGATGCACATGTCAGTGTTTACCAGCGCTATCACCAACTGTTCCCTGGGAGAGGTAGGTGGTTAAAGTTTCATGAAGTTATGTCAATGGGAGAGATTAGATAACATAAGAACACTGAAGATTAATAAGTCTAGAAAGAGATACTTTGCTTGAATCATTGGCAAAAATCTCAGTTATTAAACTTAAGTGAGGTAAAATGAACAGTGAGCAGGTTGTAATCATAATTTAAAACCCCAGACAGGGTAAAATAATTTAATATTTTGCACATCCTTTGGGAATCACGTTTAATTTATGTTGCTACTAAAGTTTGGAGATTTGCATGCTTAACTTAAACATGTATTGCTATTATTGTTCTTTTTATGTTAAGTTGCTTCTATGATTTTAAAATAGTCTTAATCACTGTTATTTTATTAGACATGCAGTCATCATGTCTGTGAAATAATTCTGGCTTTATCTGTGCATCACATGTTCCAAAGGTCATGATAAGGAGACTGGAGGAAAGGACAGTGTGGTTTATCTATGTAAAGACAGAAAAGGTGTAAAATTATAACTTAATAAAAATGTCATGTTTTTTTAGATGGAGGAGTATCAGTAGGAGTGAAGGCCAACAAATCTCCGATCATCTGTGATACTCAGCTGCTGGTAAGATCCCTGAGTCACATGGGAGATACGCACATTATTGATAATAATGCTGTAATGGTTCCTGTAATGGTAAAACAGTGAGATTAACATGTAATGAGTTCATTTCCCACTTGATTTCAGAAATATTCAGATTTCATCTCCATCAAGATTCAGTATGATTGCATCACAGGGAAGGAGCTGGCCGATCAACTGCAAAATATTTTGGTTTGTAGAAATGAATCAAAACCACAATTTAAGTCAGTATAAGGAAATATTGACAGAAAGATAAAACAACCACTGTTATATTCTTGAATTTCTGCTTCAGTTTCTTGTGCTGAACGTGAAAAATAAACATTATCTTTTGTTGTAGGCGAAGTGTGAAGGAAAACCGGTCCTCTTTTATGAGGTCAACATCAAGGACTGCTCTCCTTATCAGTTCCTGTCTGATACAAACATTTTTGAAGGTAACACTTGGAGGGTAAACCTGAAAGGCTGTTATTTGTTTACATCAAATTATAGACAATTATAAGTATCCTAAAGGTTGTTAACCATCCTTTAATTTGCAGAACATATAACTAACATTGATCTAATAATATCGTAATTATGAGGTGGTCATATTGAGGGTCACATTTTCAAACACATATATAAGGGTTTGGATATCATTTGATGAAATTTTAAGGGAAGTAATTTAACCATTAATGCCCCCTGTGGAACTTTTGCAGGTATGGCCAGTGGACCCCAAAATGTTCTTGGATTTGACATGGTGGATATGCTACGTCCAGGCGATGCTATCCAAAAAAGGTATGACATAAAAAAAACAGATTCTTCATACATATACTTATATCAGTATCACATTCAATATTTGTCAACCATAAATCATACCACAAAAAAGATGAAGCACTGTTCGGTATAAAAAGATATAAAGAGTGGATTTCAACCTGGTCCACTTAAAGGCTGGTATTTCTGGCGGCAGAGACTTAACCTTCTTGTTTATTTCCTTTTCAGTCATTCACGCCAAAGTGACAATTACGGAATCAGAGACACTCCTAAAACATCTTTATGTTCCACAAGCTATTGCAAAACTTTGAGCAACTTTGCCACCATAACTTCATCTGAGCGAGATAACTTCTTGAATGATTCTTTTCCTGATGGCTTCCAGTGGGCCACCTCCAGTGAGTCCTTCAAGGTTGAGGGTGGCTGGTCAGAAGATGGAAAGGGGGAAACCATTTGGGACAGTTTTGCCCATGAAAACAAGGCTTTTGAAAATCAGACAGCTGATCTAGCTTGTGACAGTTACAACAAGGTGGATTATGATGTCTACCTTTTGCGAGGTCTCCATGTCAACACCTACCAGTTTTCTATCTCCTGGGCAAGAATTTTCCCTTCAGGCCGAGGAAACATATCAGAACAAGGGGCTCTCTACTATGATAAGCTTATAAATGCTTCGCTTGAGTCTGGCATTCAACCTGTCGTCACGCTCTACCACTGGGATCTGCCTCAGACTCTCCAAGACTACGGTGGATGGACCAATGCATCCATTGTTGATGCCTTTAAGGACTATGCAGACTTCTGCTTCTCCAGGTTTGGAGACAGGGTCAAGACCTGGAACACTTTCAGCAGCCCTTGGGTGGTGAGCCATGCTGGGTATGGCACTGGTGAGCATCCCCCTGAAGTGAAAGACTATGTGGTTGCCTCCTATCAGGTAAGAGCAACTGTTCTACAATATTTTGCTGAGAGTTTTACGGTTATATATAATACACTTTCTAAGCATTTGCTTTGGCTCGACAGGTCACACACAATATCCTCAAGTCCCACGCTGAGGCCTGGCATGCCTACAATGACAAATACAGGAAGACACAAGGAGGGAAAGTAGGCATTGCACTGAATTCTGATTGGGCTGAACCCATGAGCTCTTCTAAACCTGAAGATGTCGCAGCTGCAGATCGCTACCTGCAGTTCATGCTGGGCTGGTTTGCACATCCCATATTTGTGAATGGAGATTACCCTGAAACATTAAAAACGCAGATTGAGCAGAAAAGAAATGAGTGCCCCCTATCCGAGCCTGCAAGACTCCCAGTTTTCACAGCTGAAGAGAGCAAGAGGATACAAGGTACAGCAGACTTTTTTGGGTTGAACCACTACACGTCACGGTTGGTCAACAGCAGTGGTGGAGGCTGTAACCCTGGTCCTCATGGGGTGGGTGACTTCCAGGAAGATGTGGACCCCACATGGTCCTCTACAGCTTCTGACTGGATCTATTCTGCACCTTGGGGACTTAGAAAGCTTCTGAACTACATTTCCATGGAGTACTTAAATGTCACCCAAGTGCCTATCCACATAACTGGGAATGGTATGCCAACTGAGTACAGTGGGGATATGATCAATGACACAGATCGAGTAGAGTACATGAAGAGTTACATCAATGAGGCCCTGAAAGGTACAAATCAATTTTTTAATTAATATGCTCATGTTCATCAAAGTAAAACCAAACTCATTTACTCATAAGTGCCTTAAACAAGGATGTATAATGGGATAAAATTGCTAATAGTCTCTTTTTCCTTCACAGCTATACATTTGGATGGAGTTAACCTGCAGCGGTTCACTGTCCAGTCACTCATGGATGGCTTTGAAGGTCCACAAGGCTACAGTGAGCGTTTTGGATTGCACCATGTTGACTTTAACCTACCTGACAGGCCCAGGACTCCAAGACAGTCAGCATACTTTTACGCCAATGTTATTGAGCAAAATGGTTTTGCCTCCAAAAAGCAACCAGTTTCTGCACCAAAAGTGACAAATATGCTGTCAAGAAAAGTTTCCCACATGCCCCCTTCCACAGTCCCATCCCAGGCCAAGACTGTTTGGGGAAAGTTCTCAAGCCAAACTGAATTTCAAAGAAAACTCTATCACTATGGCACTTTCCCTGATGGCTTCAGTTGGGGGGTATCATCTTCAGCCTACCAGATCGAAGGAGGCTGGAATGCTGATGGGAAAGGGCCAAGTGTCTGGGATACATTCACCCACAAACCTGGCAGTATTCCTGCAAATGCTAACGGAGATGTGGCCTGTGACAGCTACAACAGACTAGATGAAGACCTCTACATGTTACGAGCTCTCAGGGTGAAGTCATACAGATTCTCCATGTCTTGGTCCAGGATCTTTCCTGATGGTCGGCGTGCCTCCCTGAACCAGAAAGGTGTGGCCTACTACAACAGACTCATAGATGACCTCTTAGCATATAACATCACTCCCATGGTGACACTCTATCACTGGGACCTTCCTCAAGCTTTGCAAGACCTTGGTGGTTGGGACAATGTCGACATGATCGACATTTTCAATGACTTTTGTGACTTTTGTTTTGCCACCTTTGGTGACAGGGTGAAATTCTGGACGACCTTTAACCAGCCTCACACAATTGCATGGTCAGGATATGGTCTTGGAGCGATTCCACCAAATGTCAAGAATCCTGGTACTGCTCCCTACAAAGTTGCGCACAACCTGATAAAAGCACACGCCAAAGCTTACCACACTTATGATGATACATATCGAAAGTCCCAAGGTGGTCTGGTGTCCATCGCCCTCAATGCTGACTGGGTGGAGCCTGTTGATGTTAATGTTCCTCGAGAAGTAGTGGCTGCTGACCGGGCTCTGCAGTTCCAACTGGGATGGTTTGCACACCCCATTTTTAAGAACGGCGACTATCCTGATGCAATGAAGTGGCAAGTCGGGAACAAAAGTGAACTCCAAGGTCTACCAGAGACAAGACTCCCCTCTTTCACTGAAGAGGAAAAGAACTTCATCAGAGGAACTGCTGATGTGTTCTGTGTTAATCATTACACTACAAAGATTATAAGCCACATTACAGCTCGGCTGTCCCCTCAATCTTATGAATATGACAAGGACTTGTCAGAGGCAGAAGAGGGCGATTCACCCACGACTGCAATTAGTAAACAGAGGGCTGTTTCGTGGGGCCTAAGAAGACTCCTGAACTGGATCAAGGAAGAGTATGGCGATCCGGAGATTTACATCACTGAGAATGGAGTGGCTACAGACAGCAAGACCACTGTTGATGACATAGACAGAGTATTTTATTACAAAACCTATGCTGATGAGGCGTTAAAGGGTGAGTGTTGACATCAGCTTCTAAGATTTCCAAACATACAAAGTATTTGGTCTCATAGTGTTTGATTGGTGGACTTCAAATTTGCTGATAACACTTCTGCTGGACTTCCATACTTTCTGCAGCCCATAATCTTGATGGTGTGAAGGTGAAGGGATACATAGCAACATCTCTCATGGATTCCTTTGAGTGGCTGAATGGATACAACGTTGGATTTGGGTTGCACCATGTTGACTTCACGAACCCAAACCGACCTAGGACTCCCAAACGCTCTGCTCATTATTATTATCAAGTTGTGAAAGACAATGGCTTTCCAATGCCCGATGATGAGAAGACACTGTATGGGGAGTTTCCAATTAGTTTTAACTGGAGCACTGCCAGTGCCTCATATCAGGTAATAAACAACATTATAGCTTCTTTCTCACATGTACTGGACTCCTAAAAATGTCCTGACAGTACTCATGTGGGCTGCACATCTAACATTAATGTCTGAATCTAGTGACCCAGATGTTGAACAGATCCTACCATGCCAGTCTCTTCTACCAAGTCAGTAATTTAACTTTCCTCTCAGATTGAAGGGGCCTGGAGAGCTGATGGCAAAGGGCTGAGTATCTGGGACAAGTTTGCCCACACTCCTATGAGAGTGGACAGCAGCTACAATGGCGATATCGCTTGTAACAGTTACTACAAGATTCAAGAGGATGTGGAGGTGCTGAAGAAACTGAAAGTGACCCACTATCGCTTCTCTGTGTCATGGCCAAGAGTGCTTCCTGATGGCACCAACAACTACATCAATGAAGCCGGACTTAACTACTACCAGAGGTTATTGGATGCTTTGGAAGCAGCTCATATTGAGCCTCAGGTCAGTAGTGATGCTGTTTATGACCACTAATGTTTGTCTCACAGCGATACTTCGGATAGTGGCGGTGTAAAAATGATGTCTGCACACACAACAGTCTGGATGAGAGAAATATATCACCCATAGAATGGGTAAAAATGTCCCTGCTTTTCAGATTACTTTATACCACTGGGATCTTCCACTGGCTCTGCAGAGAGTTGGAGGCTGGGAGAATGAAACCATCGTCCAGAGATTCAGAGATTACGCAGATGTTTTATTCAGCCGTTTGGGCCACAGAGTGAAGTTCTGGATAACATTAAATGAGCCCTACATTGTGGCCAATCTTGGCTATGGATATGGTACCTTTGCTCCAGGTGATCAAACACGTTTCTGTCGGGGTCCTCATTTACCACACTGTTAAAAACCTTAAAACTTAACATCACAATGACAGCAACATTTATTACTTTTATTTCTCCAGGTATTTTTGGTAAGCAGTACATCGCAGCCCACAACCTGATCAAGGCCCATGCTGAGGCCTGGCACCTTTACAATGACATGTACCGGGCAAGACAGGGTGGCATCATCTCCATCACCATCAACTCTGATTGGGCCGAGCCAAGGAACCCATATAAGCAGGAGGATGTAGATGCAGCCAAACGCTACTTACAGGTAAACTGATAAGTACTGACACCTGTAAAAAGTCTTGTGTTTAGATAGCAAAGTGAAGCCAATTCAAAACATTAACTACATTTACTAGAAATCTTCTGGTATGCATGATATTTTTCTGGTGTCGAAGTGATGTTATATTCTTGATCTAATGTTTCTTTGCAGTTTTTCATTGGCTGGTTTGCACATCCAATCTTTAACGGGGATTACCCTGATATAATGAAAACTATCATTCGTGAAAGAAGCCTCGCTGCTGGTCTCCCTGAATCACGGTAAATGACGCATGTTTTAAACCGTCACCAGGTTTGTGTGCAGTGTTCTAATGGTAAAAATTGATTTTAAGTCTTAGTTCAAAATAAAATAGGAATACTTATACACTACACTACATTTTTAATACTTAGTTTCACTGCAAAACCACTTTAAAAATGTTGGGAAACTATTTGCAAACCATGTTTTGTGCAACAGCTGCTTGAGAAGCGTGAACTTTGAGGTACAGGTGAGAATTCAAGCACTTGGGGTTTAAAGTAAAAGCCATGAATGGATCTCCACTTTCTTATACAGGCTTCCTGAGTTCACTCCTGCTGAAATCCAGAGGATCAAAGGGACTCACGACTACTTTGGCTTCAACCATTACACCACCATCCTTTCATACCCGGTTGATTTAGGACAGCAGCAGGATTATGAAGGTGACAGGTGAGTGGAGTTTAAGCAGCGATGCTCAGTAGAAACACAACAAGGGTGCTTTTCCAACGAGATCTGTGACACAAGAAGGAATTAAGGCAACAGATTAACGCTTTACTCTGTAGCTCCCTGTTTAATTTGCAATCCATGACTCAGGGGGACTGGAACCACCCACGACCGAACCTGGATTGGATCTGGCTCCTTCTGGCTTAAGATCACACCATTCGGATTTAGGAAAATCCTTAAGTTTATCAAAGATGAGTATGGAAACCCACCAGTGTATGTGACGGAGAACGGGATCTCAGAGCGAGGAGAAGTGGACTTGAATGACCTCCACAGAAAGCACTACTATGAAAACTACATAAACCAGGCTCTGAAGGGTAAATTGTAAAACTTTATTTGAATGTGCTGGTTATTGGAGTCTAAATTTAATAAACTTTCAGGTTATGTGACTCTATTACTGTTGATCTTCCAGCCCAGGTTATGGATGGCGTCGATCTGAAAGGTTACACCGCCTGGTCACTGATGGACAACTTTGAGTGGGCTGCCGGATACTCTGAGCGGTTTGGACTTTTCTTTGTGAACCGCTCAGATCCAAACCTTCCTCGCACCCCTAAAAACTCAGCGTCTCGCTACGCCTCAATCATCAACTGCAACGGTTTCCCAGACCCTGACCTTGGACCCCATGAGTGTCTGAACCCTGAACCTGAAGGTAATAATAATTGGTAAATCAATGTGTCATTAGTGAGATTTATAGAGGAATGACTATATTTAGTTTTCAGTACAAAGTGTGGAAAAACACAACATCCTTCAAATCCGAATTAAGAGTCTTGGAGCAAAATATTAAGTTTAAATTCACAAACAATTGATTTTATCTTGCTTTTGTCCCTCTCTTTAAACAGCTACAGACTCCCCAACTACAACTACAACACATACTACTCCTATAACCTCTACTACACATCCTACACACACATCAAACACTCCTCATACTACTCATACCACACAGAAGACCACTTTACCTCCAACTTCTGCTGCTCCGCCTGTGAACATGGTGGACTTCTTGGGTCTGGAGCTTTCATCAGGTGATGCCGAAGTTGCTCTTTATGTCCTATTTGCATTCCTCCTTGTGAGCGTACTCGGTGTCATCTTGATTGTTTACAGGCTCAGGAAAACAACAAAAAAGAAGTCAAAGAAAGCTGTTGGGGAAACTGTAAAGATGGAGAAATTTTGAAAAGGGGGGAAAATCTCAATTTTCAGTCGGGTTTTTGGCAGCTTTTCTAGGACATTCAAGATGGATGAACTTTGACTAAGTTTTGGGTGATTTCAAACTTCATTTTGATCTAAGTTATTTAGAAACTACAGCAGATACAAGACTGTCCGATATGTTGAGGCACCTGATGATAATTTTTAGGGTAAAGGGATGCAAATAAACTTAGATTAGAATACTTTAAAGGAGCATTGTCAATTTTTAAATAAAGATGATTCTTCCATCCAAACATGTGTGCATAGAGTATTGATTGAACACTAAATGATATAGGAACATGCTAAATTGTTGTGATCATTTTCAGAGTTCAGTTTAAGAAATAAAGTCTACTGTGTAACTGTATGCTTTTCAGACAGTTGTGTCAGTGTCAAAGATTGACCTCTGGGTGGCGCCAGTAAACCATTTTCTGCATGCAAAGTTGCTGTGATGCTGCAGTTCATACACCACACACAGAAGTTTTTCATACATCATTATTTAACAAAAGCTTTAGGTAACCCTTGACAACAGAGACTGGTAGCACAACGCAAACTCACTTCCAGAACAAATAATGTGGAGGACATAACTAAAACTGTGATTATAACCTAGTTTATGTTTATGATTTGCTTACAGAATTCACCAATAAAACTATAACCACTCACTTGCCAATTTTGTTTTACAACCGATCAATCTAAAACTGCCAACCAATCAGCTTAAAGAGTCCTGAAAAAGGCTAACAGGTACCCTAACATTTCCTGCATCTAATTAGGAATTTGATTCAGTAATATAACCAAACCTGTAGTCTTCAAATTGCTGCTGTTCCACCAATGAACTCTGGGTAGAAACCCATCACAGCCCAGAGGAGGCGTTCAGACACGCCCCTGCATGTTTCTGCCACTCTGCAACACCATCCACACAAACAAGAGGCTCACAGGGCAAATAAGCATCTTCTCGGCACTCCTGCTAGGATACCTCCGTCTGGTCTCCAGGGCGACCCGTCCTCTCAACAGGATGTACACATTAGTGCGCAGCGGGTGTCTGTTCTGCACGCTCTCCCCCTGCATGCTGCTCAACGGCTCTGATCAACAAGGGGTCTGTTCAATATCTGGAAACCCAGAGCCTGTCAGGATGGGGTAGAAGAAAGGCTGGGAGACAAACACGCTCACTCATACTTTCATCAAATGTTTTTAGGTCAGCTTGATTGGTGTGCATGAAAGTTTGATGACTTGCACACCTGCCAGTCTGAGGAACTGTACGATGCACCGGCGAATAAACAGTGAAAAATCTGCTTACTGTTTGTACGGTAAATAATATATGACAGACTGCATGTAGTTAATCAACGTCAGCTTAATTATATAATCATTCAAGTACACTATTAGCAGCAGCATGTAATCAGCATGTGTAAGAGTGTCTTTGCATGTTCATTAAAACACTCAAACACACTATTAACACATGATAGAACTTGTGTGTAGAACAGCTGCAGTAATGCTGACAAACACGCTGCAATAGGAAAGACAACTCCATGTTCGGAGAAAACAGGCAAATTTAGACATAATGCAAGTTTAGAAAGATATGAAACAACGCAAATGGAAAACCTGTTTGTAACCCAAAGCTAGCATCATGCATGGAGAAGATTTCACTGATGAAGCCAGGCTACCTCTTCCACTTTTTGTTACATGTCTGAATGCCACAGTTGGCGTCATTCTCCAGTTTGCCTCATTTATTGGCTCTTCTGGGGTAAATAAAGTCGTTTGAACCTCGCCTCTAAAAAGTCCTAAACAAACAAACACAGAAAGCAAATGCATCTAAAAAACAGTCCAAATTAAGTCATTACAATCAGGTGCTCAAGTCTTTTAAAGTCACTGTGAGGAATAATGTTCGGTTTTAATCACACACACTCTGCAAAACTGAAAACGAAGTGAGGGTTTTTTCTTGTTAGAAATAAAGTAAAACACGATCACGACAAGTCCAAAAAAGTGTCTTATTTAAAGACATTAAGAGACAAAATTACTTTAAATTAGTGTACAAGTCTGCCTCAAAAGGACTGCTCAGGTTCACACAGTTTTCAAGAAACTTAAAAGGTTTCATTTCTCTTTGGCAGATTTTTATGCTCATTACATACATTATTTTAAACCTACTTCTAGATTTGTCAGGTAAATATGGAAATTATAAAGTCATTAAGTCACTCTTTGGTGCTCAAAGACAAAAACACTTGAGTAATTTTGAATTTTTTAGATGTATGTGTCATTTTTTACTTGCATTGTTTCTGGATTTGCAGCCTGATTATCCTTTTATATATAGTTTTGGCAGTTGCAGCAATTTTGACCCTGTCAGCCACCATAGAAAAAACACCCTGAAATATATAAATGTAATTTCAAAATGGACAAAGCGCATGTAATTTGCTTTGGACTGCACCATCACTCCTGTTTATACAATTGTGTTAATAGGAATAATTTTCACTCTAAATTTTGAGCTCCAAAATTAGATAAACCTTCCTCAACTCATGGCTTATCACTGGAAACAACTTTTCATTTGACTTCTAGATTGTCCCTTTCATTATCCCGGATATCACATTAATCCTTTAACACTTGTTTCTCATCCCGTCCAACAACAACCTCATACACTCAGACAAACAAACAGAAGCATTTCTTCCACACACCTGCTGCTCCACAAACCTCTTCGTAGCATGTGTGGCATTGACATAAAGATGAGCCCTGATGTTCTGCTGTTGCTTTAATCAAATGCTTGCTGGGTGGAAGTCTCCCCTTAGTGTCATGGAGGCAGAGTGATGGTGATTGCAAACTGCTGCATGCCATCTCTGCTCCCTGGTCGGCCCTCTGCTTTTATGAGCACAAGATGGAACAGTTGCTCATGTTGAGAGTTTTTCAACTTGAAGGAAAGAGTCAAAACTTCGCCGTCCTCACTCAGCTCCTTAAACTTCTTCCTGTGTGCGACATGTACTTATTGTTTAATGTTTCAATCCAGCCTCCAAAAGAGTCTGAGCTTCGATTACATAAACTAGAATCCATATTTCACATGAAGAGGGTGTGTTTTCCACTTTCTCATTTTCCTGGAAAGGCGTTGAGATCTTCCTTGTTGAAATACTAGAGCAGGAAAACATTATTGTTAAAGAGCTGTGTGGGATGGGACGCTGATATTGCCAAAAAGGAGGAGGAGTGTTTTCATTCCAATAATAGCAACGTGATACTTCAAGAATGTTTCCAGCTGAGCCAAGGCTGTCGAAACAGACAACTTCTGCAACACGAACCACCGCACACCCTTCGTCATACTCTCATACTGCACAGTTTTAGTGAAGAACAAGAATTTGGACATGCCGTTAGCTTCTGAACTCTGCGATACAAGATCTGTCAACCTGAGTACTGAGGCCTGATTTTTACAGCTCAAATACAGTCCTTTGGGATACTTCAACTAAAACAAAAAATAAACAAGAAGTCAACAACAACAAAAAAGCATCTGTGAGGAATTAAAGCAGTAAATAGTTGTTGGGTGTTGTTGTGTCTGTTTCCCGTGGCAACCTTAGATGTGGAGATCCAGGTTGATGAACGTGTTACTTTTATGAATCTAATTAGTGAAGCATATGTTCTACACCTCCCAAATAAACATACTGTCCTACTTGAAGGCGCTGAGATATTTTCTGGTGTTTTCTTTCTCAAAGCTGGTCTAAAAATTAAGCTGATGCTGAAGTGTTTAAAACTGCAGTTCCTTGAGTGTCCACTTGAGGCTGGATGCAAAAGCAGTAGAAGACACATACACATCCTTTCTCGAAAGCCCAGCTCTACACCAAAAATATGCATGTTTAAATCCTACAACATAACCTGTTAGAAGGGTGTGTCTTTTACTCTTCTCGTGATATGTTTTAAATCACATGCTGAATTAATGTGACTGGTCATAAGTCTGTATAACCACTCAGAGGTACCTCCACATGTGACTGTTGCTGATGCCTCCCTACAGATCTGTTTATCAAGATGAACTGGACTGGTGACCTAAGCTAACATCACCTGAGCATATGAACGATAACAATCGCTCATATTTCTCAGACAGATTTCGTGTTTCATATTCCATATTGGTATCAGCATAAAAATGAATGGTAGTTTAATAGTATGAGGATCAGAATCAGCTGTAGTAGTTTGTCTGAGGGGTGTGCAGAGATGTTACCTCCCTGTTTCTTGACTCTAGACTGATGGAGGTCAGGTCTGGCTTGTTGCAGTCTGGCCCTGTCCTGTTAGGAGGTAAACTAAAAACCAAACAGTAGTCATGTTTACATGTGCAAAATTTCTTGATCTGATTAAAAATTTAAAGGGATCGGATAATCTGAATCCACTGTTTCTATTGTTGCAAAATCAAATAATCCGATCTTGATTTGCGTGTACATGCACAAAAAAAGCATTTGGACATGCGCAGAGTTGTCTGATTTCGCTCAAACAGCCGCAGAAGAAGAGTTGTATTTACACTTGTGCTGTCACAAACTAACAAACAAGGTAGTGCCTCACTTCATCCAATTCAGGATTTTTTCGCTTTGTTAAATGTTGTCACTAGATGGCGCCCTTGTGTATTTATTTTACCGTTCTGTCAAAGGTTGCGCTGTGCGTGCAGATGTGACATCATCACGCTGTGTGCACGTCTTGTTACGTTACCGGAAGAGCAGACATGGCACCCGCGGTTGTGTTTTATGCCGGATTGTTAATAATGAAACCTCCTGAACTGACCTCAGTACATAAAGAGTGAAGACTGAGTCAGGTAAGAGAGTCACGATCGGGATAAGTGTTTACATGGACGCGTTTCGGAATAACGATCGGCGTTAACCATATTCTCGATCGGATTACAATTTAAGTGAGCTGAATTGGATCAAAATCTTCCGATCGACATGTCTCCATGACGTATCTTTATTCCGATCGGGCATTTATTCCGATTATTTGTGCCCATGTAAACGCAGCTTTATGGATGTGCAGAAAACAAAATCAATGATCAGCAGCGACATGATCAGCAGCTCCTGAGGCAGGTTCAACAAAGTTATGCAACTCTTTATTTGCATATGTCTCTTGATTTGCATCCTCTGAAAAGTTGGTGGATTAAATATGTGCTGAGAGTGTGACTGGAGATGACTGCCCCACTGATGGTGCATTTACACTTTATTTTAAACACTCAAATTAAAACTTTATTGGCTTTGGCTCAGTCAGCTCTAAATCAAAGCTATACATCAACAGGTTTTAGGTTAAACCTCTAAACATAAGCTCAAGTTTAGATAAAGAAGTAAAAAAAAAACACATCAGGTAACAGGCTGGGATTAAACTCCAAGTGTTCAGCACTTGTTTGAAGTCACTTTGAGACCACTGCTGTGTTCGAAGTTAAACCTCCAGAGGGAATCCCACCAACCCTGTTTGAAGTCACCCTATGTTTTTATTGAGATCATTATCGCAAATATTGCCTCTGACAGATTCAATTTCCTTGTTTTGTGCTCTGTGGTGCCGTATCAGCTAAATGCTGCATTCCTCCTTTGCGATCCCCTCTTCATAGAAATAAAACAGGAATGGAAACTGGAGCAGGAAATTGAAAAGAGAGGTCCTGTTGTGTCGTGGAGACCGCTGTGTCTGCTGCTATTTCCTCTGAACATGCCAGTCTCATTCCCCCACCAGATGCACATGTGCCCTGTCTAATAATCCTCACAGTCCTTCAGGGAAACATTCTGGTCAGACTTGTAATGCAGTATTATCCATAACACTGTTTCTGTTTCAAAGATGGATTAATTGTTTCTGTTAGGGCACTGGCATGGCGGTAAAATGCCATTTGGCATCCTCAGCCAGCCTTGGCTCATTCTTCATGCAGCCTGGTGGGCTGCAGCACTTCAAAGGACATGTGGCAGGATGGCACACAACAGCTGGCGTACAGCTTGGTGTGTCTCTGTGGCTTACAGGCTGCTCACCAATGTTTACCCAGCGTCAGTGCCAGTTTAGAGTCACGACACATTAAAAAACACTGAGTTTTCAGAGGTGAGGAGAAGTGTGAGTGAGTTTGCGTCTTTGTGAGACTACACTCTTCTTGATTGACTTTATATTTCTTATGTTCGTATATGAAGTATGCAGAGGCAGACAAACATAATAGAAGATTGAGACTGAAGTGGGAACAGACGGACACAAACAAGTTATATAACTTATCTCATTTTGACAAATGAAAAACAAATATGAAAAAGAGTTTTAGAAACTTCTCATTAAAATCCAACAATATCTTACTCTGGAAGCATGTATTTATCGCCCAAATGACATGCAGCCTTCATGCGCTTGTCTGCCAGGCTATTACATAACAGTTCGTCATATTTATATAAGTGTGGGACTGCAAATCAGACAAGTTCATTACAAAGTCATTGTATGCCTCTGCTCGCAGAATGGCTCTGGCAGGTTGGATTGTATGAAAATCTTAATTAGGTCTGGCAGTCTGGTGTACCCCTTGTGTTCAGGAAACAATTAGCGACAGCCCCACCATGACAGGAAGACGTGTGCCATTCTTCTGCTGGGCTCGCAAACACTGCTGAGAAGAACCCGGGCTGCAGATCTGACAAACAAACAAAA